ATAAATCCTGGTTGGTATTCGTGTGGGTGTGTGTGTGTGTGTGTGTGCGTTGCTTACACGTTTGGATACATTTATCTCAGTGTTGCCCACACTCTCTCCGCTTCTGTCATGCTCCCCACCTCTGGGCAATAACAAAGCATTTTAATGTAGCTCACATTAGAAACGATTTTCCATCTATATATATACATGTGTGTGTGTGTGAGTGTGTGTGCAAATATCCTTATACTTTTTATTTGTTTTTTCCTTCTCAACTTTTTGCTTGATACTATTTATGCCACTGTCTTAAGTAATGCATTGAATTTCGCTTGTCTTATACACTTTTCGTAATGCTTTTCATTGATGATAAAATTTGATGAAATTAAATATAATTAATGAAATTATTAAACATTACACTCACAAATATATACGTATTATGTTTATTACAATATTTGGTCGTTATATATCTACAAATATACATTTATTTGATTTTCTTTTAAATTTGCAATATATAAATTTTTTAAAAGCAGTTTAAAGTCTTTAGATTTTAAATCAAATTCTAACTATTGCTAAATCATTGCTTAAATATTTAACTGAATTTCCTTCTCCATTCCTTTCACACATACCAAATTTGGTGTTTCTATTTTTTGACTTAGGTTCTCCGTACAGGTTACAGTGTATACAGTATTCAGTCGATATACGAGATAACTTTGAGTAGATGTAAATTCCCTAGCATACCTAAGTGCGCTTGATTGTGCTTTGAATTGAAAGAATGCCTTGCATTTGTTGTTGCTTAGCTTGTAAATTAATTTGGAATTGCAATGCAAACAGATTGCTGAAATGATTAAAATACCAAGCGAAACTGAAGCTTGAGATGAGTTCGTAGAAAAACAGGAAAATGAGTAAAAACACAGCTCAAATTGCCATTGCAGATTGTTTGAAATAAATCGCTTGAGTTGACTTTCCACACAAGCGCCCAAAAATGCCAACTGCAATTAGATAAAAGATCAGAGCTTACAAAAACTGTGCACATGACAAAGTTTTGGCCTCAAGACATATACACAAATATGTAGATATATTTTTCAGTTGACACAAAACTTGAGGTCTCAAGTGTGAACTGAAACGCATATGTATATATATATATATATAGGAGGACAAGCCATAAGTGCAGTTTCCGTCTTTGAGTCGAGCACATAAATCTTAAGACAGTTAACGACATCATATGCCAAGGAGTCAGTAGTTTGGGGGTCAGATAAACTTCTCTTGCGCGAAAAATTATACGCCGCGTGTAGCGAACTTTATGTGCATTTCATTCCCTCCTTCTCTCTCTCTCTCTCTCCCTCCCTCTCTCTCTCTCTCTCTCTCTCTCTGTCTGTCTCTGTCTCTGTGTGTATTTTTGGGAATAATTGTGGGGCAGGCAGGATGGCACGAATTCACGACAAGCAGTTGCCGACGAACTGCGCCCGCCAGTTGAGGAAACCAATTTGTGGTAATTGTCGTGAAATTGCAATTTCTGCAACTGTAATGGGGCCTACAGTTGTCGTTCTTATTGCACCCACCCACAACGCGATGACAATTGTGGAGAGGGGACGGCGGTGTTGCGGCAGCGGCAGCGTGACTTGCTTAAATGAGATTCGTTGACTGCATTAAGAAAGCGGTGAGAGTCCTGCGAGTGCTGTGAGCTGAGCTGATATGATATAGTAAACGTTGAAGTCGAGTCATTGTGTGCGTTAATGATGCCCATGAGAATGCCAAGATTCATTGCACATTTAATACGACATATGTCACAAGTAGACGAAAGTAGACAATCAAATTCATTATGCACTTTTATGGAGAGCATCGCAAAACTTTTGAGTAGGAAAAACTAATACATATTTACTTCATTGTTATTCAATTTCATTTGTTGAACATGTTTGTTTAATATAACATTTCATTAATCAGACATTTTAGTTTATTATGTTTCGTTTGCTATAAATGTTTGTACCATATAAATATAAATTAAATAGATATGTTTTTGATAATGTAATATACATATTGATAAACATTTTTATAGAAATTACATTTCAATAAACAGAACAGCAAATCAAAATGGAATAGCCGAGCGAGCTTGACTAGAAGATATGCAATAAATTTAATAAAACTGATTAAAATAATATAAAAAGCTTAAGGAATAAATTCGTTTTAATATTAAAAGGGGATTCAGCATTAAATAGATAGTTCAGGCTATAAAAAACTTAAGCATTTATTGCCATCAGAATTGATTGCATTGTTGAAACATTTGTAAAATGTGCGATTCAAAAGAAATTCTTTCTCAGCTGTTTGACTACAATTGAAGTGTCGAATTTGCTAAACTTAAAAATATGTTATTTTACCCAAAAAATAATATTGAGTGCGTTAATTAAAGTGCTGGAGTCTGTGATAAGGTGCAACCAAGTCGAATCGCTGTACAAGTCAAGTCAGCGTTGTGCAGCCAATATTTATCTTGTTTTATCGCTGCCTCAATTTACGGCACGTCAGTTGCAGTAACGTTAACAAAGGTTGCAAACGCGCACTCGCACTTGCCACAGATACTCGCAGATACTCGCAGATAGCTGCAGATACTTTTTGTTGGCTCGTCTTTGCCTGCTTTATCGGTGCAAAATCACGTGCGCATAAAACTTTCCAATCAGCTTGGCTATATCTCTCTCTCTCTCTCTCTTTCTACTCCACCTCTCCCTCTCTCGCTCCTACTCTTTTACAAAAGAGGTGCTTAACAAGCTCTCAGCAACAGCATCGTTGCACCTGTCGCTGAGTCAGTTGCAATAAGTTGTTGCCCTCTTCAACCAGCTTCTTTTTTTCTTTTGTTTCTTTTTCTGCGTTTTTTGTCATAGTTTGGTTATCTTTTGCTTGGCGCAAAGTTACAGCTTGAAATGGCAAATCCATACAATAAATATATAAAATGTTACTTTCTGTGTCACACCTGAACTAACCTCAAATAAATTTGTGCGCACATGTGTCTGAACGGTTGGGGCAAACAAAGGACTAAGCCCAAGCACAATCGACACACACCTCGCACACACGCACACCTCACACACACTCACACACACACTGACACACACATGTACTTAGCACAGGAGTGTGTGGCAAAAAGTTTCTGTTCGATAAGGCCAGCGGGCAAACCAAAGCCGGTAGCTGCAGCTGCAACTGAAGCTGAGTGCTCTGCCCCATATAGCACCGACCCCAAATAAAGTAAAATAGAAAAGCCAGCGACCCAAAAAATATAGAAGATGAAGCAGAGGAAAAGAAAACCCACGTCTTGCAGGCGAAACGCAACAATTTCCAATCACTTCCGTTGCAGCGACACAATTTTCTATACATATTTATACGCTAAGACAGCAAGACCAGCTTGAAAACAGTTGCTGATCTTTAAATGCCCTTGCATGTGGCATGTGGCAAATGTGAAATTTAAGAATGTGTACCTTAGCAAGATCTGTGCTTAGGCCAAATAAAACATATGTTTGGGAAGCAGATTATGAGGACGACAAAAACAGATCTAGTTAATTTTATTTTATCAACTGTCCATTTCGGAACTATCGATACAAATCGATATGCGATAAAGTCAGCAATTGTAAGTGTTAAGCCCGTCAAGCGAATTACAATATACACAGACATATTATGGATCAATTATAAAAAGAAACATCGATTTTAATAAAATACCATTGGCATTATTTAAGAAAATTCAATGGTTTGCCTAGTTGAGCTCTCTCGACTAGCGCATTCCAATTTAATTTCCAGATTTTTCCATTTCAACAATAAAATTCATAAGAAATTCTCTAAAATACTCACTCCGTCGCAAAGAGGACCTCACAATGATGCAATCCTTTGTTAGGGTATTCACAAGTGGTTTGAATACACGCTTAGTTTGTTTTGGCACTGGAATTGGTTACAGTCAGCTCCTTTTTACTTTGCACCTACCCTCCCCACTTACCACTTCCCTTCCTTCCCTTACTCCTGCCACACATTGCGTATGAGTGTTGTCTATGCCAATGGGGCAGCAAGAAAACTTTAGTGGGTTGCAGGGGGGAGAGTGGGGGCAACTCTAAAGTGTTGCAAAATGAAAAGTTTTCATGCGCTTTGTTGTTGCAATGATTCGATTTGTTGCGATTGCGTTTTTAGTCTTTTGCATGTGTGCTCCAAAAGTTTTTTAGCGAACAACACTTGCAACGCATTTTTGTGCGGTGGGGCGCGGAGCACGTGGCACGGGGATATATGCGTATTGTGTTTGGGCCAAGATAAAACATGCGATTGCCAAGCAAAAACTTTTACTCACAAATACCCAACTGGGAGAAGGAGTTCTGTTCCTTGGATTTATTGTTGCAGCTTAAAGTTATTGCCGTACTCATGGTAAGTTGCAAGCAGCTAGTTGCAAGTTGGCAGCAGCAGCAGCTGCTTATCAATTGTCCAGAAAATTACTTAAACTAGCTGCGATTAATTATGGCTGATTAGATTTTGTGCAAATGTGAAATAAATATTTAAATACAAAATTTAATTTCGTGTAAATTACTTTACAGCTGGAAATGCTGGCTGGAATAAAGCCAAATTATAGTAATTTGGCAGCGGTTTAAAGCGTGTTGCCGCCTCATTTTAAATGCTTGCTGTGAGCACGTCATTTCCTCAATACGTCAGTTAGTCAAACAGAGGCAACAGCTTTATGGCCATAAACGAGCAGCTAAAGTCAAGTGGCAAACACCAACAATGCACACACAGACGAGCAAGCCAGCTAAAGAGTATAATTACAAGTAGTTGTTGCCCATTAAGTTGAGCAGAAAAAAGAGAGAAGCAACACAACAACTATAAACTGTCGCCATATTATTTATTATTATTATTATTTATTTTTTTTTGAAGCCCCTACCACTGCCACATTTAATAATTGTGAGCTACGTGAACTTTGCATTATATATATATATTTATAAATTGTTAGAATTTTTTCAACATTTTTTTACAGCATTTTAAACGTTTTCTTTTTCTTGTTTTTTTTTTTGCAGAGCGCAAACTTTTCGTTGGCATGCTGAATAAAAAGTACACAGAAGCCGATGTGAGGCAACTGTTTGCGGGCCACGGCACCATCGAGGAGTGCACCGTGCTCCGGGATCAGGTGGGGCAGAGCAAAGGCTGCGCCTTCGTTACATTCGCAACCAAACAGAATGCCATTGGGGCGATCAAGGTAAGTCCCGACTCAACTCTATGCATACATATATATGACCATAATTATCGTATACTTGATCGCACTTAAGGCTTTAAGCCTATCGTTGTTAAAGCCTCCCTCCCCTCTCTGTCTCTCTCTCTCTCTCTCTCTCTCTCGCTGTGTATGTTGGCCACATCGCAAAACTGTCGCAATGATTAATTGCTGTTGCGGCAAGAGTCGCGCATATAAAACACGACGCTCGCCGGTTTCACCCACAACTCACTGATACCGTGAAGCAACTCATTTCGGTCAATTCGGTTTTACAACTATTAAATACCCTGTACTATTTCATTTAAGTCAAACTACACATTTGGGGTCTGCTTTTATTAGTGTATGCAATACTTCGCTTTGGCATTTGAGACTCCAAGGGAGTGAATTGCCTTTTATCGGCATTTAGTTTGATTAGTTTTCAACTGGGATCCGTTTTGGCAAAATATTGATATATCTTTGTATGTATTTACGTAGATATCTCTCTATTTTGATAGCTAAGCAATATGTAAGAATCTAAGAATCTTTCTATTTAGCTGCCTATCTTTCCACCTGTCTGTTAAACTATCTATCTGTATAAAGTGTATACCCCATGTACGCCTAAATGCCAGAGCATAAACCGTATGCAGCTGCAACAACAACAACAACAACAAGAGCCAAACAGGAAGTAGAAATGCAAGCAAGACGCCGCCGCAGGCAGCGGAAGAAGTCAACGGCAATGCTTCTGCAGCAGCAGAGTGAAACAGAGATCCGAGCAGAGCAGATTCCATGGCATACAACCTGCTATGGTCACACTCAGACACACACACACTCGCACACACACACACACACACACACGCCTGTCACACACTAATGCAAGTTTTGTGCCGGAAACAGGCAAAATTACAAACTTCCGACAGGCAAACACAAACACATGTAAAGCACACACCCAAAAGCAACTGAGAGGATAGCCAGAGGGGTGGGGGGGCAGAGTATGGGGGTATTAGGGGTCATATGGGGTATATAGGAGGCGAAGCAAAACATGTTGTCTCTGTGTCTGTGCATTGCACATAATTTGTCGCCTTTTGCAAGATGAATGTGTTGCGGGCGAGCATCATTTTATATATACAAACACACAAATACAAATACAAACATGTGTATACATTCTGTGTGTGTGTGTACAGTGAATGCTCGAATAACGTACAGCTTATTTAGCATGCATATCTTTGGTAGAGCAATTTTCTTTATGTGAGTTTTACTACTTTCTTTTCTAGTACAATAAAACTTAGCAGAATATATATTTTTATTTTATCCTATCCTAAAATTTTCACTAAAAAATTACCAACATCCGACAACTAATTTATATACCTTTCATAAGAGCGATCATCGAAAGGATTTTTGGTTGGCTGACTCTGGTCTGAAAGCGTATTTAATCTTCGGCGTTTCTAATTATTTTCCAAAATATATTTCGAGTGTTATTTATTAGGTATTGCACTAAACAAAATTCAAATTTGGTTTGTCCAGTCAATGCAAGCTGTCACTGTATATATAAATGTACACACCTCTATTGTGTATATGTGTGTGTGTGTGTGTGTGTGTGTGTGTGTGTATTTGTTTGTGTTGTGTATGTGTGCTGTGCAATTTTAATGCATTTGAAGTCAAATTACTGAATGCGAAGCACGCACCAAGCCAAAACGCAATGAGCTGCTGTTTCTGCTGGCCAAGAAAATGATTTGGCAAGTCAGCGAATGGTTTTAGGGGAAGGGCAGAAAGGGGATATACAGGGGGTAACTTACTAACTGCAAGTCATTGCAGTCCATTGACGCCTGAAAGTATGCAATGGCAAATGGCGAGTTAGAGCGCAACTGCATTTAATATTAATGCGCCCTGTTTATAACCCAAGCAATTTATTTTACCAGAAAACTCCAACCACCCCCACCAGCAACCCCTACTGCAACTGTGACTGGCTTGTTTTTGTGTTGCGGCTACACAGACTGCTTTTTGTTTACATCTTGAAACGAATGAATGCTAAGAGCCAAATGATGATGCACAATTTTTCATCACATGCAGATTTTTCTCTTTTGCACAAATTTGTCAAGTGGACTCGAGCAAAGGCTGCTCAGAGTTGTAAGTAGAGTAGAGTATTTCATTGCTGCTGATTATCAGGTCATTTAACTCGCCTTTTTCCTTTTTCCACAACAGGCCAAGTACTAAAAAATGACAGGCGAGAAAATAAAGTTGTAGCTCGTTTTTAAAGCAGCCCATTTTTCTTATTTTTTCTTTGCCTCACTTGATGAGTATATAAATGTTATACAGCAATTTTAGCTTGAGCAGATTAAAATATTTAATTTTAGTATTTCTTTTTATACGCCCTGAACCCATTACAAATTGCATGATGAATTATTGGTAAATAATTTAATTTAATTTGTTACGTTTCGTGTTTCTTTGTGTCGATTGACTTTAGTTGCCATTAAATAAATAAATAATATTTGGAGGATATATTGAGCTATATCGACTAGGGCACTCTAATTTTTGCTAAAGTTTGCCATACACTTAAACAAAAAGTGTCGTTTTTTTTAGAAGGCTGTTGCCTTTGTGCCACGAAGGTTATTATTACAACATCAACTTTGGCGACCTGTTTAAAAACACGGAAATTTGCCTAATTACCTTATGGCCAGGCAGCAGGAACTGCAACAGCAACTGAGGCAGAGACAAAGAGACAGCTGCAACAGCAGCAGCCATAGTCATAAAAGTCGCGCCACAGCCGCAAGAATTATAGTCAATGTAATTAAAGAGCACTTCTGTTCTGGCGGTGGCCAGGACAACCAGGGCAACGAGAACAACACTAACACCCCTTCCACCCTGCCCGACTCGGCCACCAAGTCGAGACTAGAAAGTGTAGAATGTTGCCACAGCTCGCACTTTGTGCAAAACTGCCGGCCACAATTGAGCGGAAGTTGGGCGCCTGGTCTCAATGATAAAGTCTACATAAACCGGGAAATGACTAAAGTGGCTTGGGCCCATTTTCACCATTTGCCTGCCCCCAATTTCCCCTCTCATTTTCCACGGCGACGTCAGAATTGCATCGCGCGATTTGGCCTGGTTTATGTTTTAGTTGGCTGGCCCCATTTGTTTGTTTTGTTTTGGGCTTAGTCGAGAGGTGTAAATTAAGTCGCTTAGGCAAACTGAGCACCCAGAAATTGCTGTGGCTTTGTACACAGGCGCAGCAGGAGCAGCAGTTGCGAGGCGACAGCAGCAGGATCAGGATGCGGATGCCTTGGACAACCATTGGCCTTTGTTTGCTGGCAAGCTTAAGTGCACATCATTATTTTGTTGCCTGTAAGCCACACTCATAAAACTTATCAAAACAGCTCAAGTTTGCTGCAAGGAAACCAGCTATATCTCTCTATCTCTCTCCCTCGGTCTCTCTCTTAATTTGCCACAAATGTGCGCTTCGAGTGCACTCGTTAAGCTTGCAGCAATGGTTCAATGCAACCTCCACCCGAAGTGCATTGAAAATGGGGCATATGGTAATAAGTTTCCCCTACAAGTGGTAAATACATTTTTAAGGCAGTGTTTAATTGCATGTAATTAAGTGAAAATGGGGTTAGCGATATCTAACGTTAACACAGCTGACAGGTTGACTGAGACAGCAAAGCACTTGCTTTGTGAACAACTGACTTTTATTAGAAGTACGTGAAATTATGGACTTTATAAATTCAATTCATAACTCCTTCTCAAAACTTATGTGCAACAATCAAGCTGTCTTTTGAGAAGCTATAAATCGTTTGATTAAAGAATAATTGTCTTAAATTACTCACTGGTCTCTGGACAGGAGACTGTAAAGTATGAAGTCACCTAGCTTAACTAGTTATAGTCAGTAGCGAACGCTGCCCATAATGAGAAATAATCCTACATGCAGATCAGAGCATAATGTATTTAAAATTGATTTAGACACAGTTCTAAAATTGCCTATTGCCATAAATTCTTCAAGGTTTTTAATCATAACTTAAGCTCTATAATAATTCTTATTCTACATTCAATCTTAGAAAGTATTAATGTTCAAATTCTCTGCAGAGAACTTAGGAGAGAATTTAGGCCTTTGCTTAACCGATTTTAACAACCAATACTCTTTTTGATTTAGGTTTGACCTCTGAAATAATACTCTATAAAATGTGTGCTGATAAATACCATGTTGGAAGGAATTCAATTCTTATGTAATATTAATGATTACATAATAAATGGCTTTACATTTAATTATAGTCACTTAAAGTATAAACTCAAAGAGAAAACTTAATGACTTAAAAGGGGAATTATTCCTCTCTGAAGCTGAGAGCGTCAAAATATAATGGGAAGCAAAATATGTAACAAATGTATAACAAATATACAATATGATATATATATTTATAATTTTATAAAATATATACAACAATTATAATATTAATTAAAAAATCATTTTAACCACATACTTGCAGTCGCTGCACCAGAGCCAAACAATGGAGGGCTGTTCGGCGCCGCTGGTCGTCAAATTTGCGGACACGCAAAAGGAGAAGGACCAGAAGAAGATGCAGCAGCTGCAGGCGATATGTGGCATCGGTGCACTGACCCAAACGCCCAGTGGCGCTGCTGCTGCAACAGCGACGCCCACAGCGAATGCGGCAACAGCCCTGATTGCTGCCACACCAACAGTGCAACGCACGAATCCATCGATGGCAGCAGCCTTAGCTGGTGTGCCGCCGGTGCAAGGGGGAGCTGCAGCTGCTGGACAAACAGCAACACTGGTAACGGTGCCCACATCGGCGGCAGCATTGAGCGCCTCGTTGGCGCCCACGCTGCTGGGCAGCTCGCATCCGCATTCGCATTCGCATCCTCATTCGCATCCGCATCACGGACAGACGCCGGGCAACGCAGCAGCAGCGGCAGCAGCAGCAGCCGCCGCCTATCTCAATGGGGATCCCACGGGCGGTTTGGGCGCCGCCTCAGCGGCCCATCTGCAACTGTATCAGCATATGCAGGCCTACGGCTTGCATCCGGCTCACTATCTGCCAGGTGAGTGCTCAACCGGAAGCAATTTCCGCCCCCCCCCCTTCCCCCTATTCCACAAAATTCCACCCCCCAAGCTAGTTAAGTAAGCTCTATAATTCAATCGCCCGCCCGCCCCCGAAAACAAAATCTCTTCTCTCAACTCAGTTAGCCATTATCACAAAATACCAAAAAAATAAAAAGAAAATCCACAGTTGTTCTTTCACTCGCTCTCTCTCTCTCTCTCTCTCTGTCTGTCTCTATCTCTCTCTTTCTCTGTCTCTCACTCTCTCTTTCTCTGTCTGTCTCTATATTTGTCTGCATCTCGTGTAATTTTCGTGTTAATTGCGCGCACTTTGTGACTTGTGTGTTGTGTTTTTTTTGTTTCTTTTACTGCAACCCCAAAAAAAAAGCAAAAAAAAATTAATTTGTTGTTTTATTTAATTGCGTGTTTAGTATATCTATTCGTTGTACTCATTACACACATATAATTTGTTTAACTATTCGAACATTTATCTATCGACTTAACTCAACTGTTTTGTGCGTTTTCGTTTCCCCGAAACTCTAGTTTCAATGGCATTTTAATTAGTTGGCATTTAGTTTGAGCTTGTGTATGTGTGTGTGTGTGTGTGTGTGTCTTTTTATAGTTTTTTTGTGTGTGCAGCAAGTAAAAATCACAAAAAGGAAATAAAGCACAAACACTGATTGGCAGCAAAAAAAAACGAGTAGATAAAAAACTTTGAATGAGCTGCGAGTGCGGTTAAAGCTTGGCAGGCAAGTAAATGTGATGAAGTAGAATATTCGATTTTTAGATATCCCGAACACTACTGTTAAATACATATGGGTAGTTTGTTATGTAATTGTGTTTCTTATTTGATATTAATTTAATTCGTATAATTGATTAATATGAAGTCTGGATCAACATCAATTCGAAAGCAATATCTTTGCAAATGTGTAATCGATATTTATCGATGTTCAGTAATCGCTAACTTAATCTGCTTTTGGTATACGAGAACTTATATGCCCTAGCTCATATAGTCTCTGAGACAGACAGATGGACATAACTAAATCGATTCGACTGCTGATGCTAATCAAGAATATATTTACCTTAAGGGTAAATGCCTGTTCTATACTTGTTCACATCATCAATGCACCTGTTTTCCCATTCTTAAGCAGTTGCGACATATATCAACAAAAGTAAGCTACCTTTTTCCCTTCTGAAGTAGCACATGCATCATGTGTTCCACCAAATCGTCAGCTATTAAATCCTAAATCTGCTAGTGTCCATTGAGCTACCTTTAAATACGCCTCTCTTACAGTTTCAGGTCATCAGGGGTCATTTGGTTGGGTTTATGCCAGTAACCGTAACACCCATTTTACCGACAAGATAAATGACTTTAAGTGTTGCAAGCTAAGCACGCTGCAGTCATTTGTTGAGCATTTAAAAAACTAAACAAGAATTAATGTAAAATGTTGCAAAAGCCAGAAAAATACTTTTAATTTTTTCTATATTTTTTCTTCACTCTAAACTTGTCGTCGCATCATTTATAACAAGGGACGGCTCCCTATTTCTCTCTCTCGCTCTCTCTTTCTCTGACTGACTGACACAAAGTCAGCTAAAAGGAAGAACTAACAAGGACGTGAATAACAGGCAGCACCCTTTTACAACCGCCAATCCCCAACTACCTGCCCCCGGCAGAGAAACACTCCTCACCGGGTGCCTCTTCAGTCATTTGCAAGCGACAACTGTCAAATAATTAATTTCAATTTAAGCAACCGAAATTTGCATAAATGTAGAAAAGAGTGCAAGAAAACCAAAAACAACAAAACAAAATAACAAAAAAACAAAACAATGGGGCAAACGAAAGGCTGGGGGGAGGTTGGAGGGGCAGAAGGAGTGAAGCTCGTTGGACTAAAGAGCATGATGAATAAAACAAAAATTCTAATAGGATTAAAAGGTGGACAGGCATTGCACAGATTTCGGACTAAAGATACACAACACACACACACAGACACACACAGATACACACAGTTACACAGTTACAGTCAGAGATACAAGCAGAGACAGACGGATAGACAGACGGACGCACGTGGCGTCAATGTGAACGTGTTGCATATGCAACGGCGCTTCATTAGAATGTCCAGCATGCCACGCCCCATGCCAACAGCGCCCCGGGGGAACTTTCGCCCCCGCCTTCAATCCAAACCCTCCCCCTGCCTGTCTGGCCAGTCTCGACGACGTGAACATTTTGCGCATAACAAATCAAGCACAAGAGCACCACCAGGCAGCAGCAACAACAGCAACAGCAACAGCAGCAAAAAATAGACAAGAATCACAGACAGCCAAATGTTGAGCGGTGCGTGCTGTAATGGTGAAAAAGAGAAGAAAAAGCAAGTAAGCAGAGCTAACTCAGGCACACCGAAGCCTAAATACCCTTCCAGATACACTACGACATCTTCATTTAACTAACTTCAACTCATAAACTAAAAAGACCGAAACTTATTTAAAGAAAAAAATCTAAGTATTTACCAGAGCTCATTGTTAGATTGATTGTTTATATAACAGCCATATGATAATTATTTATTATTATAATTGAGATACCCTCTCTCAGTTTATCTAAAATGTTCAAATACATTTTTTAAAATTAGAGAGCAAGGTAAATCAATGTTCCGCATATATGTGAGATAGATATATATATTTAACTCCACAGCGGACTAAAGAGAATCTCCAAAAAAATTTTTTAAAAAAATCTTGACATTGAGCACACAACAACAAAATCGACAATTTATTATAAGATCTAATGCCACATTCAATGTATAATATATAAATGCTTTTTATAAGCTGGTAACACTAAGTAAATGAACATATCCCCATACTTATACTGTCTCTTTGAAAAGGTTACAAGCTACATGCGAAAGTAAGCATGCTTCCATTTGTAAGCAGTATAGTTTATAGTTGTGAGAGGGCGAAATCAGGAACAGTTAACGATGACGACGACGACGACGACGAGTAAGGGCTGAGCGGGTAAGGGCAAGAGATGGGCAGTTAGAGGCAACTTAGAGCGACGTATGCCACTTGAATAACAAATGACGTTATTTTTTTAAATGTCAGCAACGGACTCCGAGCGACAGAGACTTCAGACTTGGACGAGTCCAGAATTGGACGCCCGCTGATGGTCAGCAAATGTTTGGGACGTGCCTTTTATGCGAGGGCACTAAAAGCGAACAGAAAATAACGAAAAAATAACGAAAAAATAAAATAAAAAAAGCAAATAAAAAACAAATACAAAATACCGTTAAGTGTGCAACCTGTAAATGCGACTGATTTAACCAATTTGCACGTTAAACGAACTTGTTGGCTCACCTCCATAAAAAGGGGGCGTGGCACTTGCTAATTATTTCATTTTTCAAGCAGCACCTGCATAATCTGCCTTTACCAAATATCTGCTTTGCCAAATTATGATATTCTTTGGCTATTCCTTAGCCTTAACGTGGCTGACACGTCTGGCATATTTGGGCCCTGCCATTTTTAAAAGCCATGCCATCGCCTCGAGGCAGAGCAGCAGCATCAAAGTAAAGTTAGCCATAAGAAAAGGCCATGCAAAGGGTTGCTGCACAGCGAGAAAATCAGAGTGTATTCTAATGTTGTGCTAAGAACTTATCATTCTATAATAAGCAATCTTAAATACAATCGCAAATCAAGATTGTGTTCATAAAAATAAGAAGTAAAAAGACAAAGCAGACTTTATTTAAGGTTCATTGGACTTAGGTCAAGCGAACTCAATCTACGAATACATTTTCAATTTAAGCTTAAGCCTTGATTCAAAGTTCATTAGACTTAAATAAAGCAAACTCAATCGCTGCATACATTTTCAATGTAATTTTTTAACTTAATTCGAGGTTTAGTATTCTTAATTAAAGCGAACTCAATCTATGCATATATTTTCAAATAAAGCTTTAATCTTGATTCAAGGTTCATCAGGCTTATATTATTTAGATTTGATTCATGATTTATTAGACTTAAATAAAAGGAACTCAATCTAAAAATGTATTCTCAATTTATGGCTTAAGCTGACTTCAAACTTAATCAGACTTAAATAAAGCAAACTCCATAAATACATTTTTAGTTTAAGCTTGCTGATTTAAGTTTTTATTTCACTGTGCAAGCAGAAGGGGGCGTGGAGCATTGTGGGTGTGGTAGTACCAATAGCCGCGGGGCATGCAACGTTGGCATGTAAACAAATGCACAAGCTGGCAAAGCAGAAGAAAAGCTACTAGAAAATATGAAGAAAAAACGGAAAAATGGAAAACCTGGCCACAGGTGAGCGCACTTAAAGTTTTATGATAGCGACAAAGCCCCTAGGGGGGATGGATGTGGAGCAATATGGGGTTCTGCAAAAAATAAGGAATGGATTGTCTTTGATAGTTGAAATAATGGCTTTTCCAGCGGCTCATTCAAAGTGAACAATTTTCCCTTAGCAAACTATTTGTAAAGCAGTGAAAAAAAACAGGTATCTAAAATTCTATTTTCGTTTTTTGTTGAATGTTGTGACCCCTATGAATGTGCTCATTACACACACACACACACATATATATATATATATATATATATATATATATATATATATATATATATATATATATACATACATATACACATGCCTGGCAGTTTATGTGTCGCTCGTTCGTTCTCTACCCCTCTGTGTCTCTCTCTCCCTCTCTCTCTCTCTCTCTCTCTATCTGTCTGTCTCTATCCCTCTCTGTCTCAACTATATGTTTAGGAGTCTCGTTTTGTGTAGCTGCTTGCAAACTAATTGTGTTATCGAATTCATAGCTCAAATCAAATTAAATAGCGCCCTAATCTGAATTAATTTGCCCGCCACGCCTTTCATTTTGAGCAGCCATTTTTAGCGTATCGTTTTATGCAAATGCAAGTTTTAAATATTTGATTTATTTATATTTTATATATTTGTCTAACTGCATTTGAATTTGAATTTATGTCTATGCAATTTAATATTTGATTTACATATATTTATTTTTTTATTTTCTTAATTATTTTCGTTTTGTTTTCAAAGACAATAATTTTCTTAGATTTATTATATTTTCAAAAAGTATAGATTTTCATCTTTTAGTATTTTCTATTTCCATTATTTCGAAACTCAAAAAACACTACTTTTTATATTTATTAATTTAATTCATTATTATTTGATTTGATTTTTTAATTTCGATCGATTTATTTATTTCATTATTTAAATTTGCGTCTTCTGGTTTCACATAATGATTTTTTACAACATTTAATAAACCTAATGAATTATTGTCTTTTTATGCATTACTTTAATTTTTTATTTATTATTATATAATTTATTATTTATTTTATGATTTCAAAATTTGTTTGATTTTCATTTTCGTTAGTTTTATTTTTATTTTTTTCGTTTTGCCCTTTTATGTTTGATTTATTTATGTTTTATGATTTGTATGTTATAAATATTTACATGAAAAACCAACAACAAAAAACAAATTAATTTTTAATTTCTTGTAAATGTAAATAATCCAATTGGGTGTGTGTTTTCTTCTATGTTTTTTATATATATAAATATTCGTTGAACATTTTTATGGTATGTCTATGATTGACTCTGTGGTCATGTACAAAAAACAAACAATTCAATCAATCAATCAATCAAATCAAATCAACCAACTCAACCAAAACCTTACAACCATAAAACCAAAACTCAAAACTGTACAAAAAAACAAAAAACAAAAAAAAAATACCAAAAAATATATGGAAAACTGAAACAGGACTAAATTTCCACCCATCGGATAATAGTGCCCACCACGGCGAACACGGTCCATCTTCATCAACATCAGCAGCAGCAGCAGCATCATCCGGCGCAGCAACTCTATCGGCTGCAACCGCCGCTGCGGCAGCAGCAGCAGCAGCCGCTGCAAGCATCGCCGGTACACCAACAGCAGCATCAGCAGCAGCAGCACCTGCATCAACAACGTCATCTCTCCCACTTGGCCTCGCACCAGCATCCGGCATCAGCGGCGGCAGCGGCAGCAGCAGCAGCGGGCTCCTTGCCGCCGGGCATGTTGCTGGCACTGGACTGCTCACCAGTGCATCCATGTCTATGCAGGATTTGGTAACACTACTAAACACATCCCAGCACAACAAGAACAACAGCAACATCAGCAGCAGCAGCAACATCAGCAGTCTCAGTCACAATCATCGTCTCAGCAACAGCAACAACAACATCCTCAGCAACAACAGCAACCAACAACATAGCCAACAACGTCAGCTAGTCGCCAGCTTTGTGCCCCAACAACAACAACAACACCACCAGCAACAGCAACAACAACCACAGCTGATTTCGCATGCACATTTGGCTCAGCTAATGGGCGTGGCCCCGCCTCTGCCGTCAGCGAGTGCGAGTCAAGCGCTAACGCTCAGCGCGCTTTGTAAGTAGATCTATGTATCTATGTAACTGTATCTTTGTAGTCTGTGTCTATGTATCTGTATCTATGTATCTGTAAATGTATCTGTTATAGCTGTAATCGTAGCGTAATGTGTTCCTAACTTGTTAACTGTCTCGTTTTCAACATATTTTTACTAAAAGTGCAATTACAATGATATTTAACAACAGCACGACCCAAAAGAAAACCACACTCGATTCCTTTACCGCCTGCATGTGCCTTGCCCTGCCCAAATAATCAGATAAATACAAAATCCTACTAAAACCAAAATTAATCGCTCAACCTACACAAAACTATTCCCCGCAAAATCAATTTCCCACATAAGCTAATTGAAACTATACCAAAACTCCAAAAGTAGTGTAGAAATTTTTGATTATATGTTTGTGGTTTCATTAGTTATGTTATTTTAAAATAAATAATGGTCTACAACGAATCATAAGTTAGGAAGCGTAATTAGAAAGTTTAATAGACGAGAGTTGAGTGACCAACATCTAAAATTCCTATAGAAACTATATGATATAGTAGTCCGATGTTGAAGATTTGTTGGCCAAATGTGAGGAGAATAATGGAATGAATATGAAGAGACTTTAATTAGCAATCAAATTGCTCATATAAGAAATCATCTATATATATTTATATCTATGCGATATAGTGATTCGATCTGGCAGGCTTCACATATACGAATATATTCCAAATAGCATCAGGTTAGTCTTCTTCAATGCGTTACAAATTGCACGACAAAATTAAAATACCCTCTGCCGTGGTATAAAAGCAACACAAATCTCCCTAATTCAAACGCGGTGACCTCAAAAAGAATCGCTCCACGCCCCCCACCCACATGCCAAGCCAATTGTTAATTAAAAATACATGCAGTCATGGCCTACTCTTAACTGGGTTTTAACTGTGCGAGTTTTGCAGGCTGTCAATAAAAATGGTCATGCAACAACAATCACCAAAATATAAACAAAATGCAACTATTTTACAATTTTGCCACAGCAAAATAAGGGCAAAAAACGAAATATTCAACTGGAAAATATCAAATCAACTACTGATACCGGAAAATGGGGTTGATTGCATTCGAAGCTAAAAAAAAGAGAGAATAATAATAAAAAACAATTGCATTTCGCAATATGCCAAAACCAAAACAGCAAACAGCAAAAACTGCAGCGTCATTGAGTGTGCATTCCATATCAAAATCAAAATCCTAGCAATCAACGTGACATTATAAAAAATATATCTGGTGATCTCTGTCTGACAAACAGTATTAAAATACTTTTTTAAAGTAGAAAAAAGGAGAAAAAAACAGTTAAATTAATATATAAATACAATATTTGAACTGGGATAATCAAAGGCAAAGCAGCTTAAAACGTAACGCAAACAAAAATATGTCAAAAGTATTGCATAAAAAATTGAATTACATTCCTCTTTTTTTTGTTGTATTTATTACTTTGAAACACAGCTCAATAGGTATTAAATTAACAATACAAATAGCAGCACAAAAATTATTTCACAAAGAAAAGTTTTTAATTAAAAAAACAAACAAACATTTAGTTTTTTATGATTTTCCCAGCAATGTACAAATATTTGAAATTGAAAATCTCATGAGTAATAATTAATGCATTAAATAGAATAATAAACATAACACTTGAATCTTAATAATTAATTAATTATTTGGATATTATAAACTTAAATTAAAATTGGCAAAAATTCAATAATATATTGATTAACATTTCCCCGATCCACGTACTTATTTTCTAACTGTATTTTGACTGACTCTCAATTACCATTTCCACCATTGCTTGTTAGCCACAAGGCTTTTAAAAATAAATTTCCCTAAATTGGGCCACAAAACTCAGTTACATAAATGAAGCGAATAAAAAATTTAGAGCCATAATTTGATGGCCATATACTAAAAATTGCTATGAAAACTATAGTCGGACTAAGCCGACTCTGTAGTACGCTTCTGGCGTACCAGAACAAATATATATATTCCAAGTTTCAACTGTCCGGCCTCAGTTGCCACCAATACACTCTCTGCCACCTTCGGGCACAGTATATAAAAAAAACAGCCAGTGTTGATGAACCTTTTTTCTTTTTTGGTCATTTTTGTGGCACATAAAATTGGCTGAAATGCAAAACTTTCATTGCGTAAGAATTTCTTATTTTTCATATTGTTTTCTGTTTGTTATAACACGTATGTAAATAACAAAAGAAACCGAGCCAAAAAACGTAATAAATTTTTAGTAGATTACAAAAATTCGTGTGTTGCACAAAGCATACGTGAGAGTCAGGTGGGGGGCGGGGTCACTTGGGGCGGTACACAGCTCAATTAAAAAAAAAACAACAACACAAGTCAGCCGTGCGCACAACAAAGGCTAACAAATTTTTTTTGATATGCTGCACAAAAGGATATATAAAATTTAATAATGTAAGGCAAGCAAACAAACCAAAAAACAAAAGCAGAGCAAAAGCAAAACAGGCAACACTAAAGGAAACCCAGGTCATATATATACATATATATATATATATATGTGTGTGTGTGTATGTGTGTGTGTATTTATGTATATTGTAATTCCCATATGCGTTAACTCAACTCAGCGCGTTTATTGTCTATATATGTGTGTGTGTTGTGTGTGTTGTGAGTGTTGTGTGTGTTGTGAGTGTTGTGTGGGCGTGTCAGCCGCCCTGTTTCTGTCTGCATCTCTTGATATTCGTTTGTGTGCCGTTTAATTTGTTTTTATTATGAGAAACATGCATAAACTTAAGCAACAACAACAACAACAATATCTCTGTCTATCTCTCTCTCTTTCTTTCTCTCTCTTTTTAGCACAGCAGAGCTTTTGCATTTATTTTGAAAGAAATTCAAAATGTTTAACTAATTATATCTAACGTTTTTCTAGGGCCCACCAGCGCCGCAGATCCTTATGGAGCAACCACACTGAGTGGCTTAACAAATGGCGCCAATGCAGCCGCAGCCGCCTTCGGAGCCGCCCAATCCTTGAATGCCAGCGCCTTGCAGGCGGCAGCAGCGGGCGTGGCAGGCAAACAGATCGAGGGTAAGTCTCCTAATATTTCCTAGTCAAGTTGTCTGATGAGTTAGAGTTAATTCAAGAATCTTTCGCAATATTATTTTCTTATTTCCCTACACGTACCAAATCAGTGACTACATATATAAAATGTTGAGCTACCCATTGAGAAAAATATTTGAAACTAAAAAACAATTGCATAACTTTAGGCGACTGTTTAAAATAATCTCTCTTTCTCTGTCTCTATCTTTTGATCATTTTCAGGTCCGGATGGCAGCAATCTGTTTATCTATCATCTACCTCAGGAATTCACAGATACCGATCTCGCCTCGACATTTCTGCCCTTTGGCAATGTGCTATCGGCCAAGGTGTTTATCGATAAGCAGACGAACCTATCGAAATGCTTTGGCTTCGTCTCCTACGATAATCCCCACTCCGCCAATGCGGCCATCCAAGCGATGCATGGATTTCAGATCGGCACCAAGCGTCTCAAGGTCCAATTGAAGCGGCCCCGTGATTCGGGCAAACCCTACTGAATGTGGGCTGGGGAAGGGGTAGAGGGGGGCGTGGCTTAAACACCAAAACAGACACACAAATAGAGAAAAATAGTCGTAGTTCCACATTGTGCCTTTTTTAGAGAAAGAGTTTTGAAACCAAAGGACCAATTATAAAATCTACTTAATGTTAAGCACACACCAAAAAAAAAAAAAAGAAAAAAAAAACACCAACATAAAAATCACAAATCATTGTTTTCTTCTTCTTCACACACACAAAACCAACCAAAGAAGTAGCTTAAAAGTTGCATCCTTGTTGTAATCACTTTTGCTGAACACAATTTCTAGTGCGTTAAATCCATTATTAAAAAAATACAAAAATTACAAATAATTAATATTGAAAACCAAACATAAAACTAAAGCTGCGTTGTGGCGCCAAAGTATTTTCAAAGCCAAATAGTTAAGCAAACACAAAAAAAAAAAAAGCAAAAGCGAAAAAACCGGGAAATCAATGAAAGTTGTTATCAATAGAAAAAGTCAAATTACACATTTGGAAAAAAAGAAAGAAATCATATTAAATTAATTTGTAGCTTTTAGTGATTTAAAAAAAGTCAAAATCAAATGAAAAATAAATTTGTAGACCTGAATTATATGTATATTTATAATATATATTTTCTTTATCAGGCATTCTTTAGTTATATGGCACAAAACATTCGAAACTCCGTTCAAAAGTTAGTAAAGTCTGCTCTATAAAAATATCTAACAAACTGAGTTCTGACAAATCTAAAAATTTAGCCTTAATAATTTCACAAACACACAAACACAAAACATGTGTCAGTCGTACTTTTAGATTTTAGTCTATTGTTTCTTAAAATAAAACCCTACTAAACATAGTGCATAATAATACTATGTTAATAGTTATAAACTATATTTTGTTAAATCTTTCAAATTATTATTTAATGTACAACATGCAAATTGTTTAAAAAAGAAAGAAGAAAGTGTACTTAAATTGCATATAAAAAATACAACTACAAATAGTAATAATATTTAAAACAAACACAAGAAAACCCATTTAAGAATCAAATGATCTAGCGTTTTAATAGCTCCTCCATGAATATGGAGGGCGAACTTTATAAATATTTTAAAGTATATGCAAAACAAGCAAACGTTTTAATATTTTTAAACAAATAAATGAATATTAAAAAACCAAACAAAACAAATAACGAGTAAGTTCTTTATTATAACTTGGGGTTTATATTACAATGCAATTATTTCGGTATCACTGATTGAACTCTAGAATAATACTGCATTTAAAAGTTTTAAATGTGATTCTGGCTTGAAATTTATTTTAAAATGACATCCTACAAAAATAGATGGAAAGACCCCTTTCCACACTTTCCACTTTCAAAACTTGATAAATTCTATCGCAAAAAATATTAGGCCGGAATTAAACTAAGCAAATATTCTAACATAATGCAATTCTATTAATTGTTATTCCTCTTTACAAAACACTAGTCAACAAACACAGTTAAACAAAAGCTACGATTTTATTTGATTAACGTGAAATAGCTCAATATAGGTTTAAGGACTGGAGTAAAAGTATTTGGAATTTGCATATAAAATCTTAAAAGGCAAAGCAATGTTAGCCAAGTCGCTGTCTTTTGTCCTCGAGCCCTGCTGGCAGCTATTGTAAGCGGTTTTGTTGAGGGTTCTTATCGCATTTATGCTATTGTACATGCATTTTTTATGTGTGCTGACAACTCAACTGCCGCTGATAGCCCAAGGGAGCGTCTGAGCGAGCTGCCCGCCCAACGACGGACCATAAATCAAAAACTGCCTGCAGTTTCAGTCTCAGTTGCTGCTGCAATTCAAACGTTGGCGTTAACGCATGAAATATGCATATGGACAAGCAAGATTGCCCACGCTGTGTGTGTGTGTGTGTAAGGATGCTGAAGCTGGGCAAATGTTGAATGCATTTCTTGCCGTTTTTTATGGCATCTAGCCATATCATGGCTCAAGCAGGGTAGCTCGAGGTAGCAACTAAATAGTACTTGGATAAATAAATACATAATAAGAAATAATTTAATTATTATGTTTTTCATATAAAATATTGATAAATAGAAAGTCAAGCTTAGAGTTCAATGAAAGGGTATATTTTAGTCGAGCACTGTTGTGTGTTTTATGTGTGTGCTTATTTTGATAAGACGCCAGGTCAAAGTAAACAGTGCTCAAACCATAAGCTGACTAACTGTCAAAGTCTCGACTCGTTTGCCACAGTCTCAGTTTTGACGAGTTTGTGAAACGAAAAACAACCAATCAAAAAAAAAACGAGCAAAAAGTAAAATCAAATATTTAAATAGAAACCTAAATATCAAAAAAAAAAAACAAACGTGAAATAGAAAACATTTATATTTATTCAAATAATAGTTGAATAGAAAGCACACACAAGCAAAATGTCTGATTTGGACCCGGGACCAGGACCCTCGTCGCCCCGTCGACCCAGGCCGCCACCACGTCCCATCGGCTCGCCACGCGGACGAGGTGAGAGCTCGGCAGAGACCCGAACTGAGGGTGTCCAAAGTAATCGATCGCCAAGGCATACGACGTGGCGCGATGGCAACATAATTCCATCTGTGTCTACAGAAATGGAAGGCTTACGTCAGTCCCGCTCCAACAGGGTGGTTAGATTCTTACCGCCCTTGGGCAATGAAGCAGTAAGCGATACTGATCCCGATCCAGATCGTCTGCGCATTTCAGGCAGAGAGGGGCAGCAGAAAGCAACACGCATTCTCTACACCACCGATGAGGAAGTGCGGGATGCACTCATGGAATTCGGCGTCTTTATCATATTTCTAATTCTAACCTCGCTCGGTGAGTAGACGAATGTTTTTTAGCATAGTGAATTGAAAGATTCTATCAGATATGTAGACAGATTTGTGGTATATGTTAGAAATATGCTTATATATTATATGGTAGTCTGAATCTTGGATCACTTTTCGTTTCATCTTTAGTGATTAGTCTAAGAGCACACTTCAAAAAAACACTATTAATTACAGTGCTTCCTCAGAATCTTCGCATGACATTATTAACAGTGTTAACTTAACAGTACTCACTCAACTGAACTCACTTAACAGAGTTTACTTAGCAGTACTCACTTGACAGTACCCACTTTACAGTACTCACTTTACATTACTCATACCTCACTTAACAGGGTTCACTTAACATCTTTTTGGTTGAAAACATATTTCGACATTAGGGGCATTTAGCGGAAACCAGTTTTTGAAAGTTTCCTTGCATTTGAGGCTATGCATAGACTATATGTGGATGGTCTAAATTTGATCAAAACTTAATATTATCACAGTCACACTCTCGGTGCGTCACTCGTATATGTTTTACTTTAACGACACAATGAAGAAACAATTTGCGGTACGCGAAATGGTTGTAATGCCATCGGTGACGATATCATTTGAGAAACTGATAACTGTACAGGACTTCTGGAACTATTTGCTGCATAACTTTCTGGTGACACTGCATGGCGACATGTCCATAGTAAATACCGATGGGTCCCATATCGATGATGGTGATTCAGTGGATTACTATGAAGAACCACCGCCCGAGCCAGGCGAAGAAGGACCACCGGAAGAAGAAGGACAAATACCGGCCACGGAAAAACCGGATGTAGAAGAAGATGCGAACGAAGATGACGACGAGGATGAAGATGAAGTCTTAGATGACAAAAAACGAAAGCGACAGAAACGAAGGCGACAGAAACGCGACAACAAAGTGTACAATCGAGAGCATATGGCCAAAGGACACACCCAATACGATTACGCAAACATGACGCACTTGGAGGGACGAGTGTTTCTCCATGAGAATCTAATGCTGGGTCCGCCTCGTCTACGCCAGATCCGTGTACGCAAGGATAGCTGCTATGTGAATGATGCCTTCATCCGTTATTTCAATTCGTGCTATGCCGCCTATTCCTCCGGAGCGGAACAGATTGGCGGCGAGCATGGCGGTGCACCATATCGAACAATGAGCGAACTGGACTCGACACCATTGTGGACAACACTGGGTTTCTATAGGAGCGGTGGCTACACCATCAATCTGACCTACAACAAACGAAAGAATCTGCAAATGATTCAGGATCTGAGGAATAAACATTGGTTGGATCGCGGCTCACGGCTCTGTTTGATCGAGTTTAATCTGTACAACCAGAACACGGATATCTTTCAGAGCGCCAAGTAAGTGCAGCATCATATTTATCAGGGAGAGCTTCACTGGAAGATATTCCCAAAATAGGGTTAGTTTTTGATAAGATCAAATTACTTTGAACGAGAACTTGATGATGATCAAGGCTGTAAATTATTTCTGAATATTAAATATTGCCAATTTTTAATGGCGTTCTTGGCACTTTCAGATTCATTGCGGAAATACCACCAACTGGTGGCGTTATACCACAGAGCCAACTGCAGACGGTTAAACAGTTCACGTTTTTAACGGATACAAGTCTAACGATGTCCGTTATCTATATATTCTGGTATATTATGGTTGTCTACTATAACATATTCGAGATCAAGGCAATACGTAAATCGGGCTTTAGGAATTACTTTCGATCGCTAATAAATGTGCTCGATTCGATTATTTTAGTTGTAAGTGAATAATTTAAAAGATTTTACTTAAAATGTATGACTATTATATTTATATATAAGCTATAAACATATATGTTATGCAGTTTTGTTATCTGGCTCTAATCTACAACGTGTGGCATACGATCAACGTGGACAACATGGTCAGTAAGGCCAAGTTTGAGGAATCCTATCAAAGTTTGGATCAATTGTGCTTCTGGAATACCATCTATGTGGATATGATGGCAATCTTAGCATTTCTCGTTTGGATCAAGATCTTTAAGTTCATCAGCTTCAACAAGACACTCGTACAATTTACAACGACGCTGAAACGCGTAAGTGCGATCAACTTTAATTACAACTCTACACTTTTATAAATGGAGCTGTTTTAGTGTTCCAAGGATTTGGCCGGTTTTAGTCTGATGTTTGGCATTGTATTTTTGGCCTATGCCCAGCTGGGTCTGTTGCTCTTTGGCACTAAGCATCCCGATTTTCGTAATTTTGTCACTTCAATTTTGACCATGATACGCATGATACTCGGCGACTTTCAATACAATCTTATCGAGGAGGCCAATCGGGTGCTGGGACCCATTTACTTTCTAACCTACATTCTGTTGGTCTTCTTCATTTTGCTGGTAAGACGAAGAGACCATCTCTACGAATTATATCTGGACTCACTTTAGGATTTCTTTCTTGCTTAGAACATGTTCTTGGCCATTATAATGGAAACGTACAATTCGGTGAAGAGTGAAATTACTCAGGGTCGCAGTCAACTGGGCTCCTATATCTACAAGAAGCTAACATCGTGCATCTATTTTATCACCCATTGTGGACGCAAGCGGCATGCCCCACCCATTCACCAGCGGCCCAACGTCGACAATCAGGATTATGAGACGGATGATGCGGGCAAGAAAAGCTTTCAAGCGCCCAAAGTTCAGCTGCGTCGCAATATGACCGAGGCCGAGTAAGTATCATTAGCTCAAATAAAATTAAATTCAATTAAATTCAATTAAATTAAATTATTGCATACTTTTATGCCACGCAGGGCACAATACTTTGAAGATGTGCCCGATGATGTCAGAAACAAGGATATGTTTCGGTGGGTAGTCGTACAGTACTCATTGTCTATGCTGATCTCTCTATCTCTCACTCTTTCTCTCTTTATCTCTCTCTCTCTCTCTCTCTCTATCTCTCACTTAGGCTTAACAATCGCGTCTCGCTGCTGGAGGAAATTTTGGAACAGCTAGTTAGCAACATGGATGGCATTTTGAAGCGTGTTGAAAGAGAAGTCAAGAAAAACCAGTAAAGAACCAAATACAATATAATCTATACGTTAGTATATATTTAATTTATACTTAGGTAGATAGTATCTAGTACTAGTAGTTGAACCAACCACCACCAGCCTTTCCTCCCAGTCGAGCTCTCTCGACTCGCGCGTTCTTTCACTTCTTATCTTATTTATTCAAATTAAAATTAATTAAGTTTAACTCACAGCCCAAAACAAAGTAGCCACTAAAAATGCACGCGCTAATCTTTGCCAAATCTGTGTACGGTTACCGCTTCCTTCCACCCTTCAACCCCGCCAATGTTTACCTTGCGCACAAAGGCATAGCGGAAAGGGGATGGGGAGGGGGGGTGGAGAATGGGCAACAAAGCGTTGCCAACGAATTAAACTTTATATTTTGTACAACATAGCATGAGGAGACCAATGCCAAAAGGACAGAAGGATAAAAGGAGCACATCATTAAGTATCTATGTGTGTGTGTGTGTGGCACGCTAGAGGACAACACTGTTAGCCGCCGTGTTGCGGTTGTGGCACGTGTGTGGCAAAGGCAAAAACAGCTGTGTTGAAAGCAACAAAAATTACAACAACAACAAGACTGAGGCTGAGGAAAGTTATGAAACAAGTTTAGTGTTTACAAATTGCATTTAAACAACGTGTAAATGTAAAAGAAATTGTGCTGCGAGTTAGATACAAACATACTGAAAAGATATGCAACTTATTAAAAATGTTATTAAAATATTCAGGTGTGAAAGTTGTAAAACCAATTTATACACAGTTCGTAGTTATGGCTGTGAAATGTTTTAAGCCATGCTATTTTATTTAAAACTTTCAAATCTGAACCGGAAACGGAAACGGAAATGAAAATATACCTATGGAAATTCAAAAATTCATTTTGGAAAATGCCAACAAAATATTTGTTAATCAATTGATGAATTATACTGGAACCTTTTATTCTAGCCATCAGAATCTGGAAACAAAATTCGTTATTAACAAAAATGATTGAAATAAAATCAGAAAGCGTACTTAAAACAAATACGAAAGCAACGTCAATAATCTGGCAATTTACATTCTCACAAATATATCTTATTTAACAAAGAATTAATTCTCGTTATTTGGCAATTGTAAATACAGAATATAAAATGCAAATTGAAAAACGCAATCATAATTGCAACAAAACCAGCAACTGCAATGTAAATACGAAAGCGAAAGAGCGGGATAGCGAGAGGGGGCACAGGGCAGAGAGCAGCACTTGAAGGCAGCGCCAATTGTCGGCGTGCGGGTGGGAGGGAGACAGCGCCATAATTACTTACCTTCATGCACGACAACAGAGAAATGTTAAAAATACGGCCATGCAGATCATGATGTTAACCATGATGATGATGATGATGATAATGCTGGCGCTTGGCAGCTGGCCAGCTGGCCAGCTCGTATGCATTCACAAACATGGCGGCCACTTGTGCAAAAAATTCGTTAAGTGTCTGCGTCCAAGCGAAAGCAATATGAAATTGACGCGTAAATATTAAACAGGTAAATATGAAATGAAATGGCAGAAATTACAACGGCTTTTGCACTTATTTGCACAGTATACATCAACAACATCACTTTAAAGATATACATTCAATTAAATAAACGCATAATTTTTGTTTAATGTAATATTATCAGTGCTGCCCATCGAAGCTGCTAGAACAAGACTGCAGACTGCAGGAAGCAGCTTAAGCTTAAGTCTCTCCACATTACGCCTTAATTGCAAGAGTAGCATAAAAAACATTTCGATAAGCGGCTTAGTTCAAGCTGTTTGGTCAGCAAAAAATTAAAATCAAAATAGATGCAACACGTCAAACGGATAACGTGTAATTAACTGGCCATAAGTTAACCATTAATTAAACGCACAACTCATTAACAGCAATAAAACGTATTTAATCAATTTATTATTGTTGCAAATTTAAAAAAAATTGAGATTGAGAGGATCACATAAAAAACAATAAAATAAAATTGAAATAATGAGAATAAAAATAAAGTTTGAAAACGGAAAATAACCTGTAACCTTTGCATGTCAAATTAAACTAAACGAAATGAATAATAATTATCAGAAATACTGAGACATCAATTACTAAAACAATCTTAGTTTTATGCATATATTCTGATAGAGCATAGACTGTTATGCGCCATGCCTAAAATGAGCCCCTAAAACCGAACGTTATGCGTAATGATCACAATTATGTAACACTCTGGTGATTATGATAATATATACAGCACAGCAACCCCCACAAAGTTCAGTTCATCAAAACGCAGAGTGAGGAAAACAACAAAGCGGAAATGGAAATGGAAAAGTTTTTATTCAACATAATATATATATTGAGTCGAACGATTTATTGGATCTGTCGCTTCTGTGTCTTTGGTTACTTCAGTTTCAATGAGAAATCGGGAAAATTATACATATGCCAACACTCAGTTTTAAGAAAAATAGTGGCCAGCATTGTAAAGATATTTTTGGTATTCACAGACAACGCAAACTACGTGTATTTGGTAATGACGGCTTATATGGCTTTGTTTGAAAGGCTTAGAGAAAAGATGTCTGGATATAACTTTTATGTACCCATATCCATTTTCAGCCATGCGAACTTGCACTATTATAAAATGGTTTATATCCTTCATAGTCGGAAAATAAGTGCATCATACGTATCGGTAATCAATGAAGTAATAGAAATACACAGAATAATGATCTCGACTTTCGACAGCATTTATTTCACTGTTGAAATCAATATCCTCATCATTTTTCTACTTGAGTCTATATTAAATGTTCTACAAATATGGAATCAACTTTCCACAACAATTATTTGGATAACTATCTATCAGCAACTTCTCTTTGAGCTCTTCTACTGGGCCTATTTTGTCTATCAGCTTATTTTGATATCCTGGCATAAAGTTTTGCTTAGATGCCTGAAATCCTCTTTACATAATCTGGAGAACGGTCATCGTCATCAACAACAGATTATTCTCTTCTATGGACTCTATTTTCGGATTTGGAAACTGCATTCTCGAGTTACCAAACTTTGGTTAAAGATAGCTGGAGCCCTGTTTGGCAGCACTTTGGCCCTATCATATAGTATATGCGAAGAGTTATTCAATATTATTTATACACAAAGTCAACCCACGGAGAAGTGGCATTTCTACCTGAGGTTCCAAATTGGCCACTGTCTGGCACCTCCTATGCGAATCTTCCTTTTGGGTCTCTGTAATAATCGCATCGAGGAACTAACCATACTCTTAAGTCAACAAATCATTCTCATTCACTTGTTGCAAGGGCAAAAATCACTGAATCAAGTACAGTCAGTTCAAGAAATATTATCTGAACAGCTGTTGGAATGCAAGGTGAATATGTGGTTAATATAATTATGATTAATATAATTACTCTTTCTTCTAGTTCAACTGTTTTGTTCTGCAGCAAATACGACCGATCAGAAATTATATTTGGTATGTGGGACAAACGATTAACAATGAGTTCCTTTTATTATATCTTTGGACCAGTTTTTTGAACGCAATGTCCAATTTGCAGTATGATTTGGCAAATGCAAATGATTAAATGGACACATAAAATGAAAAATGTCTTATAATCGCTTTGATTTTATAGATTTTTAACCATTTCAACATGTTTTTGAACTAAGAAATTAAGTTTCTTTGAATTTTAAAATCATTTATGTCATGATTACTGGTAATATTGATTTCATCCCAACTTAAATGCAAATTTAGTTTGATATTTATTAATATTAACTACATACTACATATATGTGTAAAAATAATATTAGAGTCAATTAGAGCAAACCTTTTATGCTCCAATTTTTGGAGTGCAACATTTGGATGAAAAATTATTCTAAAGGTTACACACATTATAATAATGATCTAATCGTTAGTTGAGTATCGACAAGGTGCTTTTATTTGTACTGCATTTGAGTTAAGCTAAACGAAGCCACTAATACAGAATATTATGCGTAATGATTGCACTAACTTATTATTCTGATGCGGATTCATCCAGCGAACTAACGCCAAAAGTTTAGTTCATCAAAATGCAACCCGGTGAAAACATGAAAGACAAAGTGGAACACTTTTTATTCCACATAACAATCAATATTTGTAGTCGAGCGATTTATCGGGTCTGTCGTTTCTTTGTTTTCGGATACTTCAGGTTTCAAAAGGAAACAGGAAAATTGCACATTTGCAAACACTCAGTTCCTAAAATAGTACTTTCCCTCATTATGAAAATATGTATTATATTCACCGATATGGATAACTACAATTACTTTCTAGGTGTAATTTATGCCTGTTTGTTTAAAAAGCTTATTGACAATATATCTGGATATAACTTTTATATGTATATGTCCATTATGATCAATGCGAACTGGAACTATTGTAAAATGGTTTATATCCTTCATAGTCGGAAAATAAGTGCATCCTACGTATCGGTAATCAATGAAGTAATCGAAATACACAGAAAAATGATCTCAAGTTTCGACTACATTTATTTCACTGTTGAAATCAATATCCTCATCATATTTCTACTTGAGTCTATATTAAATGTTCTACAAATAAGGAAATCATTTTATTTTGTAAGAATTTATAAGCAATTACTCTTCGAGTTATTCTACTGGGCCTACTTTGTCTATCAGCTTCTTTTGATATCCTGGCACAAAGTTTTGCTTAGATATATGAATTCCTATGTACGGAATATGGAGAATGGCCAACATTTAAACAGACGGGATCAACAACAAATTATTCTCTTCTATGGACTCTACTTTCGGATTTGGAAACTGCATTCTCGAGTTACCAAACTTTGGTTAAAGATAGCTGGACCCCTATTTAGCAGCATTTTTTCCCTAACATTGAATATGTCCGAAGAGTTATTTGACATTATCTATAAACAAGGACAACCCATGGAGAAGTGGCATTCTTTCCTTACGTTCCACATTGGCCACTGTCTGGCACCTCCTATGCGAATCTTCCTTTTGGGTTTCTGCAACAATCGCATCGAGGAACTAACCATACTCTTACATCGACAAATCATGCTCATTAACTTGTTGCACGGAAAAAATCAAAAATATTCAGCAGAAGAAATAATATTCACCAGACTGATGGATTGTGAGGTGAATATGTGATTAATATCATACTATATTTATGGTGTCAATAATATTTTGTACATCTTAGTTCAACTGTTTTGTTCTGCAGCAGCAAACGCGACCGATCAGAAATCATATTTGGCATGTGGGACAAACGATTAACAACGAGTTCCTTTTACTATATCTTTGGATCGGTTTTTTGAACGCGATGTCCGATTTGCAGTATGAATTCGCAAATGTACATGAAAAAGTAAATGAAGTTCTGCCGTTTAGGAACAAAATACAATAAGTAAAAAGGAAGCAGTTTTATACCCTCTATAATTCGATCGATAAGTGTGTAATGTATTGAAGAATATTGTGCATATTCAATAAATTCAGTTTACAATTAAAAATATGAAATTTGTATTTATTCGTAACGCTCTGTTAACTTTGAAAACGTTTTATATATGTATCAAGAATCGAAATATCTAGCTTCTTTTTGGAATACCCTGCAGCGATTAATAATGGGGCAAATGATGAACAATATATAATTCAGATATTAATGATCAGCTGTACGAATTTCATTAAGATCGAATAAGAAACATAGATTTAGTTAAGTTAAATTATTCAATAAAACTAAAATCTGAATTCAAAAGAATTAATTAATATATATATATATAATCTGGGTACTGAGAATCTGCTAGTTGTGTACTCTCTAACTTTTTTTCTTTCAGTGTATGTGAACACAGTTTTTACCTCACATTATCATTTGGCAGTTAGAACATAATTCGCCATAATTATACTAATTGTGTTGCCCATCAGGGGGAGGAGGAGGAGGAGGAGTTGGAGATGGAGGAGGAGTCCCAACATTATGTTAACCTCATGCTACTATGTCGTTTTGGTCAGTAATTTGGAATGGATCGCTTGGAGCAGTTGATATTCCGCTGGAGCCTTTCGATTCTGTGTGGTTCCCTTTATCGAATCTGTCGCTTTAGCGGATATGCTCACTTCAAACTGAGTACAAGATTTGGCAAATTGAGAGCATATAAATCGAATTGGTGGATCATATTTCTAACCAGGCTAGTTCTAGTGAAAGTGTTACTCTGTAACAAACTCAATCCAATTGGTGCATTAGTTTATATTGTCTTCACGCCTCAGACAATTTTTCCGATTTGCCAAAATGATTTTGAGACATTTGTCAGCTATTTAATGCTATTCGTAAGTAATTTCTACTTGCTACGTTTACTGCGCCTGTTTAACAGCCGGAAGTACAGTGGAGCCTGCTTGATGGCTATTCAAAAATTGATGGAAATACATCGCATTCTAAAATCGAGTTGTGGCAATTGTTGTAAATTCAAAACTGATCTGTATATTCTATTGATATTTGTACTGCAATATGAATTTAGTGTTGTGCAACTTGTGCATAATTGGTGGCAACCCTGCTTCTATGCATTCAATCTACTGTTATTTGAAATGTTCTTTTGTGCATATTTCACTTACCAGCTGCTCTTGATGGCCTGGCTCAGAGTATTAAGAGATCAGCTAACAGAAATTGAACTTTTTCCGGGCTCATTTTGTAGTCATCAACTGATTCGCTTTTATGATTTACACACTCGCATTTGCCAAGTCCATGGGCTTGTTAGCCAACTCTGGCTGCAAATCTCCGATTTGCTCTATGTCAGCATCTTAAAGTCCAACCATGATTTTGTCTATGCTTTGGATGCGTGGGGGAAACTCGATGAGAGAACATTTGTGATACTCATTCGATTTGGCAGCTTTTTGTCGCCCGTCTTCAAATTCTTGCTGCTTGCCACATGCAACGATCGCATCGAGAAGTTGAATCAACAATTGAGGCAACAATTATTTCACATCGAATTATTGAATTCTCAATTTGAAGTGTTTGAAGTGGATGCAACAGCCAGCGAACACATATTCAACAAACTCTTGGACATTGAGGTCAGTGGCATGCAACTAAGCTGAGTACATAAAATAAAAACAAAACAATGTTTAATAAGAATTGATTATATTCTTTACTTCATAGAACTGCTCTTTTTATCTACGGCTGCACGCACAACCCTTGAGGAATTCAATTTGGCATCTTCAACAGGCTTTGAATTTCAAAATTCTATTGATTTTTCTGTGCTGTTTGGTTTTTAATGCCACAATGATGTTGCAGCAGCAGATATTCTGTCCAGAGCTGTTTTAATAAAGAAATCAATTTAAATTGAATTCATGTTAAAAATAACTAAATTAGGCATATTTTGTTCTTTTTTGGCATATTTTATATTTTTGCATCAATAAATATTTTGGTATGCATTTGTTAATTATTTAATTTAATACTCGTACTTAGACAAAACATTGACATAATAATTTAATGAGTGCTGCTCGGCTCGTAAAAACATTTGAATTTGTTTGATGAGCTTAGTGAAAATGAATGCAGTTCTGCTTAGACAACTAAAACACTTATTACAATAATAATAACTAACACTAAATTGGTTGGCTTCACTTCAACAGCGGCGTCGGCGTCTTCAGCGATAATTTCTCGAATTTGGACATTGCTGCAATTGCCGATGGAGACAGCTCAAAGACCTCCGCATCGGGATTATAGGGATAGTCCGGATTCGCAGCGGCGACATCATTAACAGCAATATCATTGGATATATCCACGGGCAGATAGCTCTCAAAGGCATCAATTGAATTATCCAAATCGTTTGCGGGATCAGCGGCGTCCAGTGTTGCCCACTCATCGTTGAATGTATCACTCATCTCAATGGGATTGGCATTGGCATCCTCATCGTCCGATGATTCCAGTTCTTCGCGTTCCCGCTGCATCAGCGACTCGCGTTCGACTAGGTGTGAGGACTCGAAATTCGTTTCATCGTCGTTGGCAAAGTTTTCAATCAGACTGTCTCTGTCGTACAGCGGCATTTCCGTTTCCGTTTCTGTTTCCGTTACGGCTTCCTCATTATGCGCCATTGTGTCGACATCTTGAGTCAACTGCTGCAGCTGCTGCTCCTCGGCCTCCTCTATCTCCTGCTGCACTTCCAGCTGTTGCTCCTCCTGCTGCTCTTGCTCCTGTTGCTCCTCCTCCGGTTGTGGCGTGTGCTCCTCCAACTCTAACTGCTGCTCCACCTGCTGCAGTTGAACATCTTCCATTAAATCGGACATTGTTGCGTTAACAGTCTGCTGTTGTCTGTTCTCAGTTCCCTCGGCAATGGAGTCTTCAATGGGCGAACTAGAGTCAAGTGTGGCTGTAGTTGTTGTTGTTGTTGTTGTTGTTGTGCTTGTGCTCTGTGTATGTGTGCGTGTGTGTGTGTTTAATGGGTGCATCAGTTATGTGTGCATAAATAAATTGAATAAAAGTTTGCATTACTTTTGTGTTTGCCAATTAAGTGTGGTATTAGTTTTTAGTACAATCAGTCGCCGCTACATGCAAATATATATTAATAAGAACTTACAGCCAAGAAACGTGTGTGTACCTTCCACGCGTTGTATATGTCAACTAAATTGCCGCTTAGTAAAGCATTGGCTTTTATACATAGACACTACGCATTGTGACGCTGACTCATCAGCAGCAGTCAAGCTTGGTTTCGGACTCAGTGAGAGAGGGAGATAGCGTGAGAACGAGAGTTGGCAGCAGCGACGCTGTTAACCTATCAGCATTAGAGAGCAGTGAATGAGAGACAATATCAGCAGCAGCGCTGTTAAGTTATCAGTCTACCGTTGCTGGGCTGATTTATAAGATGGTCATTAAGCTGTGCTCTCTGACTAAGATATATAGAAAGGAAGACAGCGGGAGCAGCGCAGAGTTAAAATATCAGCACTCTCTTTTGTTTGACTGATGCTCTCACACAACTGTGAACGGGCATTATCAACGGCGCTGTTAAGCTCATAGTGTTCTGTTTGCTTAGCTGCCCTTCCTTAACATGTTTACATTTTTCGCTCTTACGTGTGAGCCGTGCTTACTTCTAAGCTGCTCTACTTCCAGTTGTATTTCCCCAACGTTAAGTTGACAGTCTTGTGTTGCTAAGCTAATGTGTAATCTGCTCTTCTCCTATTTCGCTCTGTTACTCAGACATTGCGCTCTCGCTCCCACTCACACTTGCTATTGTGTTAGTCGCCATTAATTTACATTTCTGCTTATTATGCGTCGCCTCACACATGATTCACCTTCGTCTGATAACATTACATTCAAATTGTATTTATAAATTGCAAAAAACATCAGCATGCGACATGTGAAGTGCCCCCGCCTTGTTATTCACTCACACACACAAACACATAGAGAATATTTGTTGGTCACTCGGTCGATCAGTGTAATGTGTGACGTCACAAGCTCATTATTTATTCCCGAGTTTGACAGCCTTCCCTCAATCACTTAATTCTATTTTTGTTTGTTACAAATTGCGAAAAAAAAAAATAAATTCACGGAAATTTGTCTTAATAATGTGTTTATTTTTATTTTTTATGACGCTCACTTAAATCTTTTGATGATTAAATTGCTTAACAGAAGCAACCACAAATTTTTCAACTAGTACCGTAAAATGAGTCACGCTATCTGAATGAATATTTCCGGGGAACTTCTCGAGAATTGCGATGCTAACTTAAAATTGTATTTTTGCATGGATGAGTGATATTTTATGCTAATCGATTTAACATTCTTTAGCGTTTAAGTTGCGTCATAAAAAAAAGTAACTTTCTGTTAAGCTGTCTTTTAAATGAGGTATTCCTTAAGGAACTGCCTGAGTTATGCATGCCAATTTTTAATAGAGAGACACTCCCGCAACCTCAAACTCCGCCTCTCCCCTACTGTTAATTCTTTCCTGTTTAACAGTCGGTTTTACGCTGCATATTTCATGTGTGTGCACTGAGTTTTTACAGTTTACAGTTAACAGTGCCCCGCTGCTTTTTGCTCATTTCATGCGCACTTTGTGTGAAGCCACCCTGTAGAACGAGCATATCCCGTCCCCCGTGCCACCCTGTACCATAATGCTTAAACAGCGCGTAAAAAAATCGGGCACATAACAAATTGAAATGCAAGTGCACAAAGTAATTTTGTACAAAGTTATGAAGGGCTACATACATTTATGCGATAAATGCGGTTTACATATATACATATACCAAATTTGTACATTTTTTTAATAGTAAATTATTAATATAAAATATCGCACATTTATTTGGCTGTTTGACTGGCGAGCGACAGGCAAAATTGCTTAACAGCCTTCAACAATTTTCACAAAATATTGTAGGTGTGTGTGTGTTATTCCATATTAATATTTATGAAAAATGTAAATATATTCAAATAAATGCATGTGCTGAAAGTTTGGGCTACCAAAACCGCAGCTTTCAATATCCGCGTGTTGCAAAAAACTGAACTGCATATAAATTGAATACATTTTTGCCACTTTTTGTAATAGTTTCAACTGCCCGACAACCATGTAACATTTTAAATTTTGTGCATATATATATATATATATATATATATATATATTGATATGTTTACATGTTGCACTTACGCTTTAAACTTGTTCATAATTGCGCATTTCATACTTTTTTCATATGGTCATTTATTAATTTTGCTCTGATTTATGTGATTACGTACCAAAAAAAATAATAATAAAGAAATACCAAAAATAACATTCTCTTTCAGACAGCAGTCAGCCAAGGCGACATTTAACTTTCACTATAAAAAAAACCTTTGAAACCTATATATTATAGTAGTTCGATGTTGATGTTATCTATGTAAACAGAAACGTTTTCATTTGTGATTAATTGTTCCTAAAGCAGCTATATGATATAGTGATTCGATCTGTCAGAATCCGACATATCTACTGTTAGTGATGCTAATCAAGAATATATACAAGCTATGGAGTCGGAGAGGCCTTCTTTAGTGAGTTTAATTAGGATATATTGTTGAACATAAAAGCTTATCATACAATAATTAATCTTTCAACCGATAGTTCATAGAACATAAGATATAACTACCTCGACTATATACATAAGTCTGTTAGTAATTCTCCTTATTTCAACACAAACTACACAGGATGATTATAATACCCTTTAAAAGAGCATACAAAAAGAGAGTAAAAATGGCAACACGCAAAATGCTCGAAAGTCGCGTGCTCGTCGAAATTCGATATAATAAATTCTCATAAATACTACACGGTTGCCAACTGCCACGCCCACTTTTTGGTGCCCCTGTATACGTCCAAGACAAGGATTTATGTGCATGACGCACATGACTTTTAATATAAATTAATTTTTATTATGGCTAAAAGTAATTAATGGACTTGAAAAACCGCATATATGATGCATGTACCGTTAAATTGCTGCAACAACTGTTAATGGTGGGGCAGCAGGCAGCAAGGGGGCAGCAAGCAACTTTTGTGCATGTGGATGGCAACCCTGATTTGCACGTTGCCACTTGTAAAATGTCATGTGCCCATAAATTGCATTTGCAAGTGTGTCCTAACATAACTTGATAAGGCTTGTTATAAAATTCCATATATATCAACTTTTGTTTTTGGAAATTCTTTTTTTAATTTGGGTTTCTACTAATAAAATGAGCAACGAATTGCGTGACAGAGCTTTTAGCGTTTATAATTCAGAAAATCCTAGAAATGACCTAACAAGACTTTAAGCCAGTATTTTAAACCGGAATCGGAATTGAAATTCGAGCTAGTAACCGAATGCGATATTATTTCCCTAAAGACCGTATCAGTAATATCCAGTATACATTAAATATATATATTTGTTATATTTACTTTTCAATTTTGAAAAAATCGAAATACCAAAGCGGAACTAAATACCGGAAAAATTTATTTACCCATTTATATATTTTACTGAACCTAAATTCTGTTCGGTTTGACACCCAGCTTTATACACATATTACTTAAAAAAAAAAAAAAACTAAACAACGTTTTAAGCTTTAAAGAAACAGCTAAACTTTTATTCTTGTATTTATTGTTTACTCACAGAAAAAGTTACGCAAATTTGCAATTGTCAGAAAGTCGCTCAATTATGCAATTAATCTATGCATATTTTATATCACAGCAGATTGCTATTACGAATATCATAAGTTGTTTTTTTAACATAATATATAATTTATTTTTATGCGTTCCATTGTCACAAAATAATAAAATGCATAATTTGTTTGCATTATTAATTTAGGCGCAATGACGTTAATCCGAAAGAAAGCAAAAACGCATACAAAATATGTCTATCTAAAAAAACAAAGATCAACAAAGACAGGAGAAAAAATACTCTAAATAATGCCCGACTAGTGAAGACCCTTTAAGCTTAACACTAAGAATTTGGATATATCAAAATATAGAAATTAATAAGTAGAAAATAATGTATCGATAATTGTCGACCTTTGTTTAGCTCATCTTAACTCTTTTCTATTCGACTTTTCAGTTTAATTTGTGTGTGCCCATTGTTTTACCTCCTACAGGGAATATAATAAGTAGAAAAATCTAATTGTGCAATTAAACATTTTGTCGTGTTAATAAAATATTTATGATTGCGGTGGCTGATGCTTTATTGGCCTGGCATATTAACAAAACTTAATTATGGCTTCAACAACAACCGCAACAGAAAAAAGTAAATAAAAATATAACAGCCGAAACAATTCAAATTTAAAGATAAATAAATTGCCTAATAGCAAAAGCAAATTTACACGCTGAATTGCAAAGCTTAAAGCTGTGAAGCAAAAAAAATTAAATTGTATTAGAAAAAGATTAATAGTGAAAATATAATTAAGTAGAAACATATGCAAAGAACCGCAGCCAGGATTTTCTCACACCAGTTGCCTTAACTTAGAAACTTATAAAATTAGTTGTAAAATAAAATCAAATAAAAGCAAGCAAAAATATATACAAATGGTTTTTAGATATCTTTTTAGTTTTATGCAAAGCTTTATTTCAAAAAAAAATATTAGAAATGTATTTTTTATTTATATATGTATATATATATTACAAGTTTACATAATTGGCTCAATATACATGAAGCTTATTAAAATTTTATAGTTTATAGTAGTATATTGTCGGTTAGTAGAATTTTTTTTATATTTTTAAAAAATTTTTTTATTGGCAAGACATTTTTGCATTAGCTGTTTAGCTAGAAATGCTGTTTAAAGCTTTTTTTGTTTTTATACCTGAGGTTCATCGATGTCGCGCACCTCATTGTCCTTGGACTGCTTCTCGAGCGGTTCACGGCGATCGGTCTCATCCTCCTCGGATTCCTCCGGCAATTGGGTGCGTTTCGGTGGCGCCGAGGTGCTGGGCGCACTTAGCGGCTTAAACTCACCCTCCGAGTTGGTAACACCCTGGGCAATCTCCTCGCCACTCTCGAGGGGACGCACATTGACCAGACGCACCTTGAACAAACTGTTGCTATCACCATAGGTGGTCTCATTGATCTCCACCTTGTGACCATCAACCACCTAAATGCATTTCATTTTTAATATATATCAATTGAGTTAGAACAACAACAACAAAGTTGTTTTTTATATATTTATATATGTCTCACCTTAACCGTTGATGTGGTATTTCCATTCTTGGTGTTCAGCGCTGTCGGCAGTCTCAGGCCGAAGCCAAGCGTTGGCTCTGCATCCGATGAATCCCCATCACCGGAGCCAGCTTCACTCGAATCCACGAGAATGGGCCAGAAACGAGGACGCAGGCGGCGGAAAATGTCTGCAAAAGAAAAAAAAAACGAAAAATGGGATGCATAAAAAATTTGTGTGTCTAGTCTCTTGTATAATTTCACGCCAAAGCAGACTAGAATAAGTTGTATTGGAAGAGTTTCTGGACTAGTAATTACCCTGCACATAATTCAAATATATCGATATTTATCGATTTGCGAGAGACAGTGTAAGTTCTCGGCATTCCTTAATCTGTAAGATTTGATTTCATACAACACATATGCAAAAAGGCTAAAAACCTATATTTACGGATAGATGAAATCTGCACAAGTTAAAGTATGAAATAGTTATTGATATCGATATTTATCGGTATACAAATGCTGCACATTAAAGGTCCCTTTAAGAATGTATAATGACTACAGGGTATAATGTTAAAATAGAAGAGCCACACTCCCAAATTGAAATAGGTAGGAGCAGCTAGAAAAGCGAACAGTGCTGGGAATTGTCGCAGGTGTTGCAAAGTGCCAAAGTGCCAGCTGGCATCGACTTGGCGCTGGTTCTTTTTCGGGTTGCTTTTCTTATTGCTGTTGTCATCTCTTTGATGACGACGCCCGGGCGCCCAGACGCCCAGACGCCTTTTGCCTTGCTAATGCGTTTTTCTGTTTAAATTCCCTAATCCGTGAACGCACTACAATAAAAAAAAAATAAAATGAAGCGTTTTCTGTGTCGCCCTTCGTCTGCTTGTTTACCTAATCCTCTTTGCCACCTTGTTTCCCTTGTTTCATCACACACACACACTCTTTACACTCATTTTTCTTTACTCTTTGTGTGTGGGGCAACCTTGTCATAAATACTTGACCGCATTGTTTAGCTGGCTTTGGCATGTTGCAATTCATTTGCTTGTTGCATTCTAATGAGTTTAGAGAGAGAGAGAGACGCCTTTAAATACTTGACCAGCCAAATGCTTGACATCATTTTTCTAACTGCAATCGGCCACCTTTGAACTTTGCTGAAGGTTCTTTAACTTTGCTTGGCGACAACTTTAATGGCAAGCAATTCGAAATATATTTTTGTCAATTTGCTAAAGTTTTTATATTATTGCTTTGCAAAGGCAATAAGACTTGACAACATTTTATAAATTGACTATTGAAGTTCAGCTTAAATTTTAAATCAAATTCAGAAATTGTTTAAAAGAAAATTAATATTATATAATCCAGATAGATGTAGATATAATCAAGATAGTGTTTTACTTTATCAGATTATTATTAACAAATATATAAATATTAAAGTAATTGTTAGCTCTAAAGGGGCGTGAAGAAAAATACCATAATTCATCGCACGTAGAGTAAAGGAATTCCACACACACACACACTTTTTTGCGCAGTGTATGCTTAGCAGTGAAGCTAATGAAACTTTTCACAGTCTTATTGTTGTTTTTGCGTTGTTATCTTTGAAGCTGTTGCTAAATAAAAGTTTCTTGCATATAAAACGAGCCATTGGCTTAAGAACTTTTGTCAGCGTATTAGTTGGCAAAAGATTTATGAAGTTTTGGCCACTCATCCCTGGCTAAACAGGCAGTATTTTATAAATATTTATGTCTTCTTTCCTACTTCTTCTTCCTCTCATATATATATGTATATATATATACATTTATTTTTTGCCAAGTCTCAAACTTTTCACTTTTAATGGTCAGCAGAGTTTTTGACCCAGCCTGCACATGCATATCAATATAAATACAGATATATAAAGACTAAAAACTTTGACTGCTTCCCCCCACAAAAAAAGAACATTTCTGACATAATATTTTGATAAATTGTTTACTCCCAAGTTTATCAGTGTGTGTGTGTGTGTCTTATTGTGTATGTGTGTGGGTCGAACTTTCAGTCGAACTCCAACGCAGTGTAAAATGGATCTACCAAACAAGGAGTGGAAAATGTGAGCAAAGCGGCACGTTGACTAATTGGCTGGCTCAAATTGCAGAGCTTCCCCATTATAAAATTGAAGAAGACTTTGCTCAAGCCTAAAAGTTTGCATACACACTGAGAAAAAATAATCTACAAAAAACACAATTTAAGTATATATTATATACTTAAGATTTGGATGCTCTGTTAACTGAAATTTATTCTCTGATAAAAAGACAAAATATTGTCAAAGAATCTAAATTGATTAAAACCAAAAGAACCCGATCGAAGAATATATTATTAATTACACCGAGAAAACCCAGCAAAAACTTAATCGGACCAATTTCCGATTAGCTTTTTTCACCCAATCAATAATTTGTTGCCTAGGCTTATGCATCATTAAATATGGATTGAATCCTATCGTTTATCGTACAACGAGTTCATCAAGGGTATTCCAACTTTAGCATAGTCAAAAGTGTTGATTCGCTGGCATGTATAATAAAATCTCTGATCATGTAATAAGCATAACAATGAAAAGTACATTAAATGCATGCTGCTCTTTGTAATTACTCGTTTGTATACCTCACTCTCCCTCTCTGGCTTAATGAGGCAACATAAAAATTTAATTAAATGCAATTGCAGCATGCGTCATGTGTGGCAGTCATAATAAACAAAAAAAAGCAAAGAAAACTCACCGTCAAAGGAAAAGCTGGGAAAGTGGAAAGTCGATGGACTCGGCTGCAGGAATGGATGAACAGCACCTGTATCGACAAAGTCACGGAAATCCGTATTGCCAGACTCCGGACGAGCATGTGGCACATCAATCACCTCAGCATCATCCTGCGGACTGTTGCGCGCTGCAAGAGAAACAGAAAGAAAATTTATATTAAAATATATAAATAGTATTCATAATTAAAAGGCGCAGCTAAAGCTTAATTTGCCATAAATTAGCCGCATTAACTGCTGGCGAAATAAGCCAAATCAGCAAATTCGTAAGCAAAAACCGCAATTTTTTTTCCTTTTATTTTGTTGTAGTCTGGACCCTTTCTGGCTAATCGTTTAGTGGCCTCATTAGCGCTCATTGAGGCTTTTCATTTTTGCATAATTTGTTGCTGCTGATGGGGAGGGGAAAGATGGAAGGTGGATATATCTTGGGCGCCCATTTTGAGACTGACCTTGGGTGGAGAAGCTGCCTGAGAAACACTGAAGAGCGCAGTTATTTTTTATAGCCTGAATGGTTAAATTGAAGTTGAGCGAGCGCATGTAACAGGCAGAAGTAAGCAGCTCCAAGCACATAAAGTATAAATATTCTTGATCAGCAATTAACAATCGACTCGTCTGTCTGTAGAAACAAGCCGAACTCAGAGGCTTTAAAAGCTAAAGACTTTAAATTTGGCAAATAAGTTCTCGTAAGCCAAGCGCAGATTAATTATTTTTTAATTTTATCGATAACTCCAGCCGTTGCGCATTTATCGATACAAATCGATTTCTGATTGAAATAAAGGTCGTAATTGTAAGGATATAGCCTTCTATTTGATATATAGCATACCCAGACATATCATCATTAAGATCGGCAAAGAAGTCCAACGAATATCAGCTATTCAGCTATTTATTTAACAGACTTGATTTAAATTGATATTTTATGCATATATTTCTTATATATTTTATATTTTTGTCTTCAATTAAACACCATCCTTATGTTTAAATTTCTGTTAGTAAAAATATTTGTTTAAAAATCCCTTTCGATTCAATCAATATTATTTCACTCTGCTTCAAGTGAAATGCAGTTGTTGAAACTAGGCCAAGGATCTTTGGAAAAAACCGCAAAGTGCCTAGAGCAGTGGGGTTAAATAAACAAGAAAGCTTGTAGTAGCTCAGCCACAATTTACAATCAGTCAGTCAGGCAGGGCAGGGCAGCAAGTGCAGATAAATGTGTCCCAACTCGGCCATGTTGCACTTCATAAATCTCAAGCAGCTGTGAGTGACATACTCACTACATACATACATACATACATACTTGTTGTACAACAAGTGGCAGGAACAGAAATTGTTCAACTAACGATGTTAAAAATAAGTCAAGCCAAGTTGTGACTTGACTTGCAATGAAAATGAGAGAGAGAGAGAGAGAGAGAGAGAGAGAGAAAGAGAGATTTATAAGCTGCGTAAAATGCGTAGATGAAAAATTATAAATATACTTGAACCCACCTAAGGGGAAAGAACATCAACTGAAGAGGTCAGAAAACGAACGCACCTCGAAACATTCACTTTTTTAAGCCGACTTATGAGAAATACACACCAGACTCGCAATATGTTTGCTATAATATATATATATATATATATATATATATATATATAACGACAAACAAAAACAACAAATTGTCATACATGAATGTCATTTACAAGTGCAAATGTTTACCCTTTGTGGCGCTGCTGAACAAAAAGTGGGCTACAAGCTGTGAAATATATATGCCGAGCTGGATATATGTATTTATACATATTCATATGCTGTGCAAATAACTGTGATATTATACTCAGTATAATAAAATGAAAACTGAACTTACAGCTCTGCATTAAGACTTTTTAGACTCAATGTTGAACATTTTATTGCGATAGATAAGGAGTTTTGAATTTAAGCAAAGAAAACGAAATTTATAAGCCGCATCTACAGCATTGTTTTGAAGATTTTATGGCCATGATTAGAGATCCTAAATCTATCAGGAAAAGAAGACGGAGACTTGACTTTTGACTTCATGTATTTAGCTGGCTCCAGCGAAGTGTTTCCTTTTTGATGTATTTCTTAACGAGTAATTGTCAAGACAAAAAAATCACCATTTAATTTTTTAAAAACATATTTAAACTATAGAAAAAAATATCAACAATGAATATCAAACATAAAAAAAATCAAAATTGTGGTGTTTTAATTACAGTCATTACTAACACGCAAGTTGAGTTGTAAATTCAAACTGAATCTATTACTTTAAATCGGCAGCAGGGGATTTATGATATGATGATAACCCATGCAAGGAATACTTACAATTTGTGTATTGTTTTTGCTTATTCTAAAAAAATAAAAAACTTATTTTGTTTTAAGTGGTCCCTGCTGAGTGTTCTGTACCAAAACACTAAATCTATTGTAATCAATTTATTTATCGTACATGAAGGGTTCCAAATGTTGTTCATTCTTGAACAGTTAAATATAATTTTGTGTCATGCTATCAAGATTTAAAGCTTCCATCTTAAAATGGGAGTTTGATAAACTAAAAGAAAAGTTACACTTTATAAAACCAGCTCTTTCAATTTATTAACGCTTAATTTAAAGTTGCTTCGTTAAAAAATCCAGAGAACTTTTATAGCTCCGATTAACTTCACTTTTTTTAATTTCACTTTACAAACTGAACTTAAATGCCCAATTCGCACAATTTAAAGTGCTCGTAATTTTAAAAAGCCAGCTAGACTGTTGCACATAAAACATTTCATGGCTTTACATATGGTGCATACCTTGAGGCAACTTGCTGCAAGCGAAAATTGAAATATGCTTGCGTGAAGAATTTATGAAAAATAAAATCCAAAAATGTTTTACGCCCCTTCAACAAAGCAGAGTTATTAGTCATGCGAATGCTAATCACAAATGAGCGGGAGTTGCCCTAATGAAAACATCTACATGGCATATTCATTAATTTTCCAATAATTAAGTCTCGTGCCCCATGCACACACGGTACTGTTTACTCATACCCTCCCCCTTGGGCTGTGCATTGTTACGTTTCGACTGATTATGAAATTAATAAAAGCAGTTGGCGCAAATTCGCCGAGCTCGACGCTTTTGTTCTAAACACAACGAATTTTGTTGCTAATTATGTAAAGGTTAACTGCAGTAAGGCCCAAAAGGGGTTTGGAGTGTGCACAACCACACACCCACCCACACCCACACCCACACCAACTTTTTTTGTGGAGCTCTCTCGTCTTTTTGCTGAGACGCCACAAATAAAATGCCGAAAAAGTGCGCCTGGCAAATCACTTGGCCTGCGTTTTATGGTGCTAATTGCCAGCAGGCAAAAGGCAAAAGCAAAGGGGCGGTTTCTGGCCAAGATTGGAGGCAGGTCCTCTGTATTTCTCTCTGTGTGAGCGTCGTCAATTAATTAACATAATTGTACAATTTTGCATAATTTACTGTGAGGCGATTTTTCTGTTTTTTTCTTCTTCTTTTTTTTATTATTTTGCCTCTCACTTTTTGTTGTAGAAAGGGGTTTCTGAGCTTGCGAAGCTGGGTTGTTGAATTTATGAAATTATTTCAAGGAATGGTGGAGCAACATATTAAGAGTTTAAGTCGGAAATTCAAAGCGGAAACGGAAGTGGAAACTTTAAGTGAAATTTAACGATAGAAAGCTAGAATCACAAGTAGAACCGAAACCAAAATTCAACTTAAACTGATTGCTTGACAGGGGCTCAAACCGAAACCGAAAAAATTATTGCAAATCAACCGATTCAAAGGCAAAACCGTAATCGAAATTCCGTAATCGACAATCTCTTTTAGCGAATACGAGTGGAAACGAAATTGGTTCCTAACATTAGCCAATTGAAACCTCAACCAAAAGTAGACAATTCCTGCTAGGAAATCAAACCGAAATAGGAAGCGTTATTCAAAATTAAACGATTGCAATTCAAAAGCAAGATTCCCCGGTTCTGTGATAGAATAGAAATTAACCAATTGAACCAGAACCAGAACCGAACCCACCATCGAAATTCGATTCACTTCAATTCCCTGCCTTCAGTTTGTTTAAAAGCATTGACGACTTCTTTCCTAACCTTACTTCTTTCTTTCTCATCTTTCTTAGCTTATCTTGACTTCAACTCTAAACCGGACTTCGCCACAAGCTAACTGCATAATTTTATGCTCTACATCCACTTAGCTATCTCTATTAAGTTTAGCTTAAGAAATCTTATTGTATACAGATTGCAGGCAATCATTTAGCAACTTTTGAAGAGCTTTCGAAAAGATTTGCAAATCCAACTAAATCAGTAAGTGCAGCTGCCACCCTTTTTCACTCAACTGCAATCATAATTACTTGCTACTCAGTGCGCCCCCAACTTGGGGCTGCCTAAGACCGGCACCCAACTGCAACCCCGAACAACTGGCAGGGGTTGGCAGAAACATCCTGTAACTATTATGGCAACTTTTTACATTAACCAAAGTACGAGCTATTAAAAATTCATTAATCGCACGCAACAGTCGAGCAAAATAAGCCATAAAAGATAACGATTAGAGGAAGGTGCTCGCTAAGAGAATACCCTACAAAATAGCTTTAAAGAACTCAGAGGAATAATACACAAATGCTTAAAAATATGTATTTTAAAGATTAAGACTGGGTTTTATAATCGAGAATTCAATTTGTAGAACTACAGATGACAGATGACAGCTGCACTTGACTTAACATACCCGCTTCAATCGCTTTACGACTACAGGGTAGTAAAAAAGAGAAAAGAACTGCACGGCAAAAGTTTAATTGATTTGCGCGCTAAATGGCAAAATAATTGATAGATAAAAGCGTGCCAAATTTAATGAGAATTCGCCTGCAGAAAAAGTTGCGAATATTTACAAATTTTGCAATACGATAATTATGAACAGCAAAAAAAAAAAACAAAAAAAAACGAAGCAGACAAACTCGTAGTTATAGTTATTAATTAGAAAAGTTTTGAGGCCCAAAACTGGCCACAATTCAGAATTGATTTTGCTGTTGGGGTGAAATGTGAAATGGAAAATGGAAAATTGTGAATTGAATTGCAATTTTGGCAACTGTGGCAAGCTGTGTCGATAGAAGCTGATGCGATTGATGAGTCTCGTGCCACATATGTATTACAT